ACAATAGCAACAACTCAATAAAACAACAATAGCAACAACAACAATAGCAATTAACTAAAAAGGCAAAAAACAATAGTTACAATTTACAACAACAATAGGCAACAACTAGGTATAAAACAATAGCAACAAAAATATAAATTATTACAACTATAAAAACAATAGACAAAGCGAAATTGTACGCAAGCGAACATAGTTACAAAAACAAGCAAAACATGTTGTTAGATTTTTAATAAAACCGTCTCAGTTACTAATTTTTTCAACAAAGCGCTGAAATACATACACACATATGTACATATATACAAAAGTATATAAAATACAACAAATGCAATAGTTGAAATCGGTGAAACAAATATACAAGCGTAAAAAGCAAACTGCAAAAACCATTTTTTTTTTTATATTACAAGAACAATAGCCAACAACAACTGCTGTGTTAAACTCACTTTACTGGTAAATGGAAGCTGCAGCAAACGCAAAAGCAAAGTAATTGGCTAGCAAGCAGGCACTTAGTTGAAAACAATTAAATAACAAAAACAAATATGCATAGAGTTATTGTTGGGTTACTTAGAAGATATTTATAATTAATTAATGCTGCTTTATTTTTTAATAATTATTTACGCTTATTTTGATTTGATTTTTTCTTTTAGCCTAATAAAGCAACAACGACATACATACAAACATTTCATTTACTTACATTTGTATGATTTCAACTTCACACCAAAAGCACAACAACAATAAGAAATACAAGCAACTATTTTTAAAACAATTCACTACAAAACAATGCAAAAAGAGCGAGAAAAAACAGCAATCCGAACACTTGCAACTGGAAAATCTAAAATAGAAACTCTAAAAACTCAAATCTTTGGGCAAAATATTCACTGGCAGTAAAAAATTTAGAAAATTGCATATTGTGGCAAAAAAGCATGGCAACAAAAACACAAAATACATGAAATGAAAAATTGTAAGCGAAAAAGCATGAAAATTAAAAAAAAAATTCAAATAAATTCTCATTTAAATGTTAAGCAAAATGTACTCACTAAGGCATAAAAAAGTAAAAAGAAAAAGAAAAAAAAAACACTTATGGCATACATAAAGTCTAACTGAAGAAAGCAGTTTCGTAAAATTGTATGGTAAGGCCAAATTTTTAAAGAAAACGCAAAAACTTAAGCTTAAAAATTTTGAACACGAAAATAGCGTCAACGTAGACGCAGTAACAAACATTTGCTATAAGAAAATTCAAGTCTGGAAAAACACCTGCTTGGGTAGATGACATTAGGGTGGCAGCACAAAAGAACGTGCGCGGAAAAATGATGCGAAAATGAAATGTCTAAAGATATGCAAACGCCAAAGTTGGTAATAAAAACCACAAACACAACAACAAGCACAACATAATTGTTGCATATGATGAGCTAGTAAAAAAATAAAAACCTATTTGACTTTTTCAAAACTTTGTCTCGGCTACAACACACATACATTGAAAATTCTTTGTCCCGGCCTTAACTAAAACCAAAAAATGTCAAGAAATTCGAAAAAACAAGGCGCAAACGTAACGCAAGAAATGTCAGCAAAAAAAAAAACAAAAAATTAAAATTTTTGGAGCAAAAAAATCTACATACATACATAAATAAACAAAATACAGCAGCATTAAGGTTAGTACGTTACAAAAATAAAGCATACATACATACATTTATAAATATTTAGCAAACATTTAAGCATCATTTTTTAGACATACCAAAAACGAAGTGGAAATTAAGCTAACAATTATAAAGAAAAACACAAAAAATACAAATAAAAAGAAAAACAAAAAGCAAGTAAGGCAAAAAGTAATTAATGGTAAATATTTGAATAGACAAACTACAAAAATGCATACAAAAATAAAATTTTTAACTCTTTAGGTATTTAAAAAAGAAAAACAACAAAAACAGAAACACAAGCGGCACTATAAAGTCGTAATAGAAATTCAAAACAAAACATTCAAAATAAAAAAAGACCACAAATGAAGCCAAAAATGCAAGTAAAGTTTTAATAATACAAAAATATCAGCATACCACACACACACACAYAAAAACCGTTTCAACAAATGTCAACTTTTTGGTATGCAATAGTACAGTAACGAACGTGGGCATTAAACTGTAGATATTTTTCGAAAAAAATTCGCACTAAATTCAATAAACTTTCTGTTGTTGTCGCAAAAGGTTAAGTATTCAGTTTTTCATCAAACTTTGATTTAAGAAAGTGTTGGTAGTTTTAAAGAAGTTGAACAGCCTGCTTAAAGCACAAGTCCATCAGATATTTCGATATGTTAAGAAACGAAAAAAGAAAAATTTTTTCAAAAAATTGTGATTTTTTTCTTTTCATAATAGCAAATTTTTTTTTCTTTGAGTAGCAAAAAAAATTGAAAATTTAAAGAAAAAAATTGTAAAAACTTTAGAAAAAAAATTTATTTTTTGTTTCAAAATTGTAAATTTTGAAATCTCTACAATACCAACAATTTACATTGTACAGTCTATAGAATTTCGATAAGTCGAAACACGAAAAAAAAATTTAAAAATGTTTCAACAAACAAATTTAAAATTTTTTTGCTTTTCAAAATAGTAAATTTTGGAATCGGCACATTCACATGTCTTTGGAGATTTCATTATGACGAGGAACGAAAAAAAAGCTGTTGAAATGATATTCTCCATACGATTGAAACATATAAATTATAATTACACCGCTAACTTAACTTTTGACATTCATTTATTATCAATGATTAAGCTTAAAAATTTTGAATATAAGCCTTTCAAAATATGAAAGCTCCCGTCAAACTTTTCTAAGATATGTAAGCTTCCTACTATATGGAAGCTCCAAAATTTTTTCTCCCGTAAAAGCTTTATAAAATATGAAARCTTTCCTTACTAAACTTTCGAAAATTCAACAACTACTGAAAAATAAAGCCAACACTTTCACTCTAGTTTATAAACTWTATTTTAAACCATATAAGCCATCTTCACAAAAATAAGCTACCTTACATATCTAATCACCAAGTCTTAAACGAAAACAAATTTTGTTCTTTCATTTAATTCACAACCAAAAAAACACAAAATAAACAATACAATATTATCAACAAAATATAACAGAGAAATTWAAGGCAAAAACAACAACAAATAAGTGCAAAACTTTTCCAGAGCAATTTTAGATCAAGTAAAAAACCAGCAAACCCACAAAAAGTTAAGATTACCAATTTCCGATAAACCCAAATTTCGCAAACTATGTACTCTGACATAACAGTAAATTAAATACCAATTCAAAATTGCATTTCCAAAGCAAAAATGTCAACTTAAAAAGCAAACAATTAAAGAAAAACACAAAAAAACTTTCAAATAATGGCAAAAATAACCAAAAGTAATTTAATAAGAAAAGTAAAGAGAAAAACAAAATCAAAGTGAATTATAAGCAAGAAAACATGATACGATTTTTAATGGAAAACCAAAAACCAAATACACACATACATATGCATCTAGTTTAATGTCGTCAAGTTTTACTTTTTTGTAATATTTACTTATTAACGTATAAAATATTATATATATATATGAGCAAGTAAATAAATGAAGTACCGTTAGACATACAAAAACATATAAACAACAACAGCCAACCACAAGCGGGTGTAACAAATACACGCATCACACACACAAACACACTGTAGCAACTCTTGAGCTCGTGACGCATTTCGTTGGTGCGTGATTTGCTTGTTGCCATTAGAAATGTCGCACACTTTTGGTTGCCAGTGTACACCAAACGTACACATACATACCAATAAACAACTGAAATTTTAGAAAACCCCCAAAAATATTGTATTGTGGAAAGTATTATTACCGAACAAAAGAAAAATTCCAAAAAAAATATTAAAATAAATTATAATGAAAATTGAAAATTGTGCGCATTAAGCAAGCAAGTCAAAAAAAAAAACTTATTAAAATAAAAAACAAGTATTTCATGCGATGATAAAAATTATATTATTATACACAAGAATGGGAAAGAAAATGGAAATAAAGTGAATCTTGTAATATAAAAAACGGAAGGGAATTGTTATTTGCTAATGAGACGTTAGTGGTGCTGATGYCGCCTGTAAGTGGGGAGTATTAAAGCCGGGGTACCTTCAGTTACATAAGCGGTATAGGGCAAGTTTTCAAAAAATTTCATTTTATATTAGGGAAATATCTGACACGATTCAAACCATTTTTGAAACACAGAGATACTCTTATCAAGGATTCTATTCAAATTTTAATTATATTTCTCATACCTTGACCTATATTTTCGGTAAAAAGTCCACTATAGGCTCTGGGGTCCACGTATTCGGTACCCAGGGGCTTGAACTGTTTTGGTACCATTTGAACAATGTTCGGCCATAAGGTGGCATACTTTACGGTACTTTATACGTTTGCAGTTAATGGCGTTTTTTTGTGCGTAGCGGTCCCATTACACCCACCTACTAAATCGTGCTAACTCTTTTGCCAAGTAACGCGTATACTAAGTTTCATTAAGATATATAGATTTTTACTATGGTTAAGCTTGCATAGGACGGACAGACCATCCGTATATCAAAGCGAATCGTCAACCTGATCATTTATATAAACACAACTTTATATCTATCTCGATTAGTTTTAGGTGATACATACAATCTTTAGCTGAACAAAACTATTATATAGTTAGTACTCTGAAGAAATAAGTTGCATATGTAAAAAGCACCTAATTAAGTTTCATTCGGATATCTCAAAAACTAACGTTATTATTAATTATAATACCTAAACAAACTGCGACTCTTAAATCCTAAGCTCGAATCTGGTTTTAGAAYCATAGTGGAAGTTATACAAATGCCCCGTAGAAAATTTAATACATACGCTATTTTATAGTACAAAATATTTAACCGTTGTCATGTATGTACATACAGGCAGAAATGTATTATAAACAAATATAAATTAGATATATAATATAAATTTAAAGTAATTTGGCTATAAACTCACCCTTTCAAACTTGGCTTGTCAATATTACACTAAGCGCTATTTTTTATAATATCTTGGCTGCGATTACATAACTAATATGTTTTTATAGCCTATGTGTTCTTATTTGTTTCCATTTACTATATAAGTCTCTAAAATACCACTTTTTATGTTTCCAATAAWAATAAAATATGTATATATTTTCACAATTTCCTTGTTCACTTGATGTTCTACTGTAATATAATATAAAGTTGACATTCATATATACGCCCCGTACCCGAACACGCATTTTAAGAATTTACACAAGGAATTTAACGCATTACGACTTTCCCCGACACTACTTTTTGCTTTTATTAATAATTTTAACTTTAAATGAAATAAAAAAGTCAATTCACAACTTTAAACAAATATTTTCCACCAATTTTAACAAATATTCGCCCCAACAGCCAAGAATTACGTGCACACTCACTTTCATTACCACTTGTAAAAAATATTTTTACTGTTACATTGCATTCCTCAATTGGAGTAATTCAGCTGATTCCCACTTAATTTCGCTTTCCACGATTCTAGCAAATTCCAAACTCTTTTAAAACCTTGCACAACTCTTGATTGACATGCATAATATTTTGAAGGTCATCTCCGAACATTAAAAACTTTGCAACAACAACGCAAACAATCATAGCGTCACTCATTACCATTTCTGCAATGATGAGCACGCAGCTTATGTTACGCACATGCACGCACACATGAGTGTGTGAATGCGAGCGCATTGATATGCAGGTGTAACATTGTTAGAAGTAAGAGCGCATTGCTGATGAAGAGAAAATGAAGTTAAACAAATGCAAGGATGCTGGAGATTTTGGTGAGAGGGTGAATTTAGGTTGCGTGTTGGAAAGTAATGTTAAGAGAACAAAATTGCCGAGTTGTTAAGAGTATTCAAAGTGCGTTGATTGTCAATATTATATTACAGTAARACAACAAGTGAATAAGGAGATTGTGAATATATGTATGTATATATATTRTTGGAAACATAAAAAGTGGAATTTTAGAGTAACACATAGTAAATGGAAACAAATGAGAACACAAAGGCCGTAAAAACATATTTGTTATGAAATCGCACCCATGAATAATTTAAGGCATATGATTTTTAATAGCAAMTTAAAATTTATAATACTCAGATCTAAAGTTTTCAAAACATTTCACATATGAACTTAGCACCTAATCGGAAAGTAGCGGGTTTCCAAAATTGTTGATTTGATTTTTAAATGTGGTTTCGCCCATTTTTATATGTCAATTATTTTAATTTTATTCAGTAATGTTTAAATTTTCGTCATTGCAAGATATACAGAAGATCAACTTTTACAAATTGCAAAGGGCTAAATTCGGGTACAATCGAACATTTTAAACTCGTCTAACTTGAAAGAATCAAAATCGAGGATATGCCTTAAGGTGTAAAACGACAACCAGAGGTTCGAAATCTATGTAATTTTATATATATGTACATATAATATATTATATATACGTACAATATAATATATACATAGCTATTAAAGTTGAGGTCACTGACTGATTTTTGATAGTAAATTTTAATAATTTCGACTCGTTGTTGGATCGTATATCCTTCCGTAATAAAAAAAGATATGCCGTCGTTTGCTGTCCCTATCGGTCCACTTTTGTAGTGGAGTATTGAAAACCCCTTTATAACTTATACACTGCATATTCGAGAAAAGCTTTGTTAGAAAAAGGAAACTCATTATGCATATGTAGTACGTGAGAGTTGGTGTTGCATCGACCCGATTTTATCTTTTTTCCCAATACTACATACTATTAACCTGCCACATACTAAAAAACCAAWCTGTATGTTAAGTAAAGTCAGTCGTTTGTTTGAAAATCCTGATATTGGTTATATAGGTGCTAGGTCAAGTTTTCGCTAAAATTTATGTATTTTTTGCACAAAGCTGCACTGTTATGAATAAAACTCGCTCTTTCATTTTCATTGAGATAACTCACATCTGCGCCAATACGAAGTTAGCCAGAAGTTCGAGAACCTTTATATTAGGTATATGAGGACTAAGGGCAATATTGGCCCGAGTTTTGACATACAGGCGTACCATTATCAGTGAAGGATTATCTGTTCATCCGTATTTCAATTTTATATCTCACAAATTGACCGATATTTTTAATCAAAAGTCAATTAATACTGGAGTCCATAAATTCGGTACATAAGGGCTTGAATAGTTTTCGTTGGATTTGAAAAATTTTTTGGTCATAAGTTGAAATACACTAAGGACTTTTAAAGCAATGAATACCAACGATCTACCACCGTATTTACCAGATCGGCTCCGTGTGATTTAATTTTCATAAACTGAAATTGCCGCTTCGTGGAAACCGTTTTCAATTAATCGAGAGATAAAAATTCGCTGAAGAAGCAGAAGGCCTTTCCAAAAAGTGGTTATGAAATGTGTTCCGAGGACTGGAAAAATCTGGTTTTAACCATTTTTAAGAGTATAAAGAAGTGCAAAAAAAGACATATATTTTTAGCCAGATTGGGTGATTTAGCTTTAGTGGTTTGGAAGATGAGTACATTAAACCATTTAGACGACCATTTTAAAAAAATGTTTACTCCCCACATGTCCCTTGTTACTGCGATACCGAGTACAAAATTTTTKGGTGTAAAAAATTAGCACATATATTATGTCGATAAAGCAGCATACGGAGCACTTCCGGGTATGGCGGTAATAGCAAAGTCACACACTAGTCGGTATTGCAGTTATTCCGCTGTAGAAATTATGCAATTCTTGCATCGAACCAGAGAAAATAAAACGAGGAGGTGTAAACCAATTTTTTATGATGCTCGATTGGATGGATTCTTTTATGTGCTCTGATTGAACGCCACATGCGTTGACAGTTTTGATAATGTCCTATTGTCGGTAAGGCAGTTATTATACGAAATAGAAAAAAACTAAAATGTAAGCAAATTAATAGAAAATATCACAAGAAACAAGAAAAAAAATTAACTTTTGTCGGACGGTAGGTTGAATAACCTTCACAGTTGCAATTTGTATAGCATAAAAAGTTGTAAGAAGATATTTATCTTGATTTTTATGGGATAGTTTGTATGACAGCTACATGCTATAAGTATCCAATCTAAACAAATTTTTTTCCATACAAGCACTACATTTTGATGGTTCAGTTTGTATGGCAGCTATATGTTATAACAGTTCGATTTGAGAAAATGTGTTCGCTAATTATAGCGTTGGCTGGTATGGAGAGCCATGTAGAATTTTGTAAAGACATCCTGTCAAATAGAAAAGCTTTCTATAGAAGGACTTGGTTTGAGAGATTAGTGTGTATGACAAATATATTATATGCTATAGTGGTCCAATATCACAAGAAAAAATAACGTAAAATTTTGAGAAAATTTATAAAAACCTGAAAATACCCTATATTCACTTTA